ATAGCCTCAACTTTCTTCTTATAGTCGTTGTCTTTGGCCACCTTCACTGCTGCTTTCCATTCCTCTTCCAACTTGTTTGGTCTATCAATTTCCAGAATATTTCCAGATCTAGCTTTTTTGCCGCCAAGCATCCAACGTTACATGTTCCCAAGCTCCTTTGCCCACTACCCTTTGGGAATAAATCCCTTTTCATTAAGATCCGTCTTCGCCGGTCTAATCTGATCCTTCGTGACAGATGTCATCTCACGCGGGTACCTTGATATCTTGATCTTGATGGAAACGATCCAAAAAGGGATTTATTGCGACGTTACGCAGTTAAAGTGAAAGAACAGTTTTCTCGATTATAACCCTAAGAATTTATAATATTTCCTTCAAACCCTATTAAATAATATAAATGTCTTTTATTGAAAATCAAAGCCAAAAAATACTAAACAATGACAAAAGGAAACAGAGGGCTTGTTCGAGTTGCAATCACAGCCGCAGTGTTGAACGAATTATTAAAGTATCACGTTCTGTGTGAATTTCTAGCAACGTATTATGAGTTGGGCAGTTGCAACAATGTTGCAAATTTTCTTCAGTGCGGCTTTTATTATGTGCCTCGAATAGGCCCAGTGCGATGGGGTTGGGCCACCACATAAAATACACACTTTGTTACTTTCCTTGCACTTTTCTAGACATCTGTCCGCGTTGCCACCAAGAATACATCGGTATTTTGCTTTATTGGACAGTGTTATTTTCTTCCATACAAAAAAATGTCGAACATACTTTGTATGGAAGAAGCTCAGAAAAAATATTGCAAAAATTTTTCTAAAAAATCTTATTAGAAAGTTACACATTAGTGCGCAAATTTATTGAATTTTCTTAAGTTTTGCACAAAGTTTAGAGATATTATTTTTATGTTTTTTGTTGTAGTATGAACATGTTTCTATAAAAAATTTGGGGAATATTAGAATAAAAAACTTCGCGTATTTTGAGAAAAATTCTCTGTGCCAATACTTTTGCCCGGCACTGTATTCAAATTAAAAACGTTTAAGCCGTTTTTCTCAAATTTCGCTTTTTTGAGTTATGCTACTATTGACTAGTAAATGAGCGATATGTAGAAGATTCTGGTAGTTAATTATCCTTGAACCCTATTTTGATCGACATCCTTGGTCCAAACTATTCCCTATCATTCTGAGCGTTTGGCGATACTGTACACTGATACTACATTCACTGGCGATTAAATATTGGCTCCAATTTCCCCATATGTCTATACGCAGCTTCCTGGAATAAACTAATTCATTCCGCATTGTCATATTCTCGCTCATCAAACAATCATTTGCTAATTTGGCTTCGTAAAAAGTGGAAATAAAGACCTATCAAGTCTTAACTTTCTTGAGTCCCTCAAATCCAAATTTTTCAATTTTTGCCCAAAAAAAAAAAACCCTCTATTAATCGTGTCAATTAAAACGCGAAATTTGCCCTGTGATAACTCACTTAAATTTTCCAATCCAACCATCACTGCGCCCCTAAGAACCCAGATTCTTTTGCAACGGAATCGTATTACGCAACGATATAAATAGTCACCAAGTGGTCACTCCAGCGACACTCTTGCTTGTGTTCAAGATTTGGATAGAGCATCTTGATGCATCTCTGGCTGGTTTACTGCATGATAAAAACATAACAAGGTAAAACCATTGACAGGCAGTTTGACGCTTGCCAACAATATATCTAAAATTTCAAAACTCAAATTCACACACACATTCCCATTTTCAATCTAAAGCAACAACAATTGCGAACAATTTCTTTTTTATTATCAATTTTACATGATCTTAAAATGCTGACAAATGTCAGAAAAAATCTTGGCCGACGAATTGAGAGAATGAATTTACCTTGTAATGTTTTTATCATGGGTTAACTGTATACTGTGGGATATACTATACTTAAATATATGTATAAAGGCGAGTTTATATAAGGTGGTGTTACTAGATCAGCTGATTTTGTGTATGTGTTTCGCCTCACGGCTTCTAATGTCAAATTGAAAAATTTTGCTTGAATTTCCGCACACACACTTACAGATTTTGACAGTTTATGCCGCCAAAGCAAAAACAAAATACATGTAAATTTTTTCCGTATCCTCGGAAAACTGTATATTTTCTCAAAGTTTAGTTGCGATGCGGCTTTCTTTGAATTACTATAACATTGAGTTAAGCCCATTTAAATTCGAATTCCGAGATACGCGTTTTTTAATCACTATTCCGTGTTAATGCGTATTATGTGCATATGTACGTACATACACACATACATATTATCGTTTAAAGTGCAAAACCGCGTATCAACAAAATGCAAAACCGCGTATCAGCAAAATGCAAAACCGCGTATGTGGGGTTGCAGAAATTATTTTCTAGAGAGTAAAAACAATATTTCAAAATGGCTCTGTTTTTTGTGAAGCAATCGCATTTCTGGCTAGTATATTTCAGGACGAATGGATAGGTATTGAGCCAAGAACTTCTGTGAACAAATCCAATTTTTTGGCAAAAAATGTCAGTTACGTGGTTTTGCACAACGACAATTCGCGGTTTTGTACTTTAAACGACGATATGTATTTATTACAATTTTATTATATAACTTCTGTTATGCTAAAAACAAATACTTTTACGACTTTTAATAGACGTCAACTGTACTTTGCACCTGGAAGCTATTGCTCGAATGCCAGAATGGCAGCAACGCATTATGCGTTGTCAAGTAAAGAGCATTGCGAAAAGCGTTTGGAAGGCTGAACGCGAAGCCGAACGTGCAGCTGGGCATAACACATCAAAGAAATACAATGAACCAGTCGTTAAACGCCGCTACACGAAGAAAAAGGATAGATTAGCCGCTGAAGAGAAGAACGCGGCGGCGGCAGCGGCAGCGGCAGCAACGTCGGCATCAGGTATGACAACAAATGCGTCAACATCAAGTGGAGGTGGTCCTACTGCAGATTTGTCATCAGGAACGGTAATTGGTGGTGGAAGTGGTGGAGTGTCGGCGGATACATCAGCGCATAGCGCAACATCAACGACATTGCCGGCGTGCGATGGTGGAAACGGTACTGGCACTTTGTCTACGTCTACTACAACAACGCCACTTGTGGCCAACAGTAAATTATTGTAAACATGAGAAATTCGATAATTGATATTAACATAAAACAAAAACAATTTTGCATCTCTTTTTTCTTTCCATTTTGTGTTGCAATATGAACTGATCTACTTCTTATTGAAACGACGCTACCCAACCGATTGCATATTAAAACAAAAAAAATCCCAATGTGATATGATGTACTATGCTTGCTGTTCGGATATATAAATGACTCGACATTCACATGCTCATGCTTGACGCAACGCGTATGCCGCCTGCCGCCAATTGCAAAAATTGCCGATTGGATTGATTTTTTTCGCTGGAATTAATGAATTAATTGCAAATACTTACATAATATTCTCACTGTTTGCTTTGCCAAACTTCATTTAATATTTTTTATTTACCTGAAATGACTGATTGATACAACATTACTAAAAACAAAAACGTGACACACATCTATTCGAAAATGAAAACACTTTTCGAAATAAAACAAAATATTTTATGAAACTGACTTTTGTTTTTTAATGCTGGCAACTGGATATAATTTTTCTACAAATTATATTTTTATACTGCTTTAAAACAATCTGACCGCTTATTGGCATATATGGCTTTGATGAAATAGTATCGGCAAAAAATTCAAAAAAGTTGCACCACTATCATCTAGTCGGCGACGGGGTGCTGTTAGAACCACCACGACCCTTGTCGCCGGTGCCTACGAATCACAGCAGTCACAGTCAAAGCAGCCATCACAGTCAGCAAAGTGGCAACAGCAACAGCAATTACATTCATCAGACCAGCGACAATCCCCCGCAAAACTGCGATCAATACAGTCCCAGCCCAGCACATTCATCATTGATCTCCAACAACAGTAACGGTTTCAACGGCGGTGGGGGCGTTGGCGGCAGCAGTGGTATCGGTGGCAATCATAAACAGAATAACAAATATCGTAAAAGTTCAGCGTCAAGTGGAGCTGGGGGCAGCGTCAACAACAGCGGCAATAACAACAACACTTCCTTCTATTATCAAAATAATCATTTGTCTTCGCACTACGCCACTTACACCGGTGAGTCGAACGATGCGAATTGGGATGGTTTTGTGATTCGCAGTCGCACATCATCACCAACGCATGCGGGTGTTGGTGGAGGCAGTAACAACAACTATCACAAATATGAAAGGTGAGTATGTTTTAACCTTTTCATCTGATATTAATTTTGTCAGGATTGTCTGTAATCGAATATGCAATGATTTTTTTTATTATTTTTTTTTATTGTAGATCTAAAAATCGTACGTCATATGACATAGACAACATTGTTATACCGTATAGTGTTGCTGCATCGACACGAGTTGAAATTTTGCAATACAAGGAAATACCAACACCCAAGTAAGTGTTATAAATCTTAATTCCTTTATGATCCAACGATCGGATCTAAACCAAATTAGTATGAGACCATGCTTGAGATATCACCTTTAAGCGCCCGATAAAAAAAAGATTAGCGAAATTGGTTCACGTGGCCCAAAGTTTTACGGTAACATATGTACATAAAACAAGTATTCCGACGAATTGAAAACCTTCTCCTTTTTTTGAAGTCGGTTAACCCTGAACAGGTAATCTTTGTCGATTTGACGAGCACTGTTTTCTCTATTCCATTTTTCTCTCCATTGGACTGAAGAGCGAATTGCTCTAAAGTATGTAAAAAACTTAAATAAAAAGTAGCGTCTGTGTTTTCCTTCTTGTTAAAGTTCATGGTTATTAAAAGTAGTTTGGCAATCGTGCATGCAACATTTTTCATACAAAAAATGAAAGAGTTATAAGGCGAACGATGGTAATAGAAAATAGAACATACAGAGAAGCCAAGGCATCTGGCATTCTAGGCAATCTTTTTGATTTACTTGTCCATTACTAAGTAAGGGAAGAATATCCCCTTATCCCAAATAGAAATAGAGTCTGGCGTCCAATAATATCAAGGAATCAGCCAACCTCATGCATAAAATTTTACCATACACAAAAGTCTTAAGAAAGGGTAATCTCAAAAGACAAAGGGAGGAGATAAATGCTTGCCATACAGTGCAGGTAAGGAGAGAGGCCAGTTAACCCGTTAGGTTATCAGAAGTAGCCATCAATACTAACAAAATTGTTAATAAACAAAATAATCTCAATCTATAACCACACACTTAGCCAATAACCTGGATGACAGACTGTTATCATCACTAAATAAAATAAATAACGAATCCGACAGCACTTTAATTAATAACGCAAAAAAATTACATAAAAATACTACATCTTAATATTTAAAGTTAAAAATGTTAAGGAAATAACTAGTACTGAACTTTGTGTAAATAAAAACGATATATGTACATAGATACAGCAATATTATTAGAGATTTGGCTTAACAGTAACATAGATACCTGTATGAATGGATAGAATCTGGCATTATACAATAGATCAGATGGATTTGGAGAAGTGGGGATCTATTTGACGAAAAATAATTAATTTTCAACATTCCAAATTAAGAGTGAAGTAGAAAATGCAGAGATTACAACATTGAATTTGAATAGAGCTGGGAGCACATAGTAACATACAATTAAATGAAAAGGTGGACACAGCAGCTAACAACGCGGCACAAAATGGTGACCGAATACAAACATTGTGGACGATAAAAGACGCAATGATGGAAACAAAGTCAAGAATAATCTAGATGAATGGCAGCAACAGAACACGGAAAAAAGTCAGTCAAAAGGGAAAGCATGTGGACATATGTTCCCGGAAATACAAAATAAACCTTGAGTACACAAAAAATCAGATTTCATGCCTGTTGAAATAAACACAAGTAATTTCTAAGTAAAAAACAAAACCGACTTCAATTCTCATATAAAAATATATATATTTCATGATCCGATAATCGGATCTAAACCAGATTACCTCTGAGACACTACCTTTCCGATGCAAAAATAATTATCGGTTGACGTGGTCCAAAGTTATGCGGTAACATACATAAAAAAAAAATAAAAATATTCCGACGAACTCTAATAACCTCCTCCGTTTTTGGAAGTCGGTTAAAAAATAAACAGAGTAATGACAAATCACACATTTTGTAAAAATACTCTAGCAAAAATGAATATATATACAGATTCGAATTGTGAATCTTGCATCTAACAGAAGATACAAACATATAATTTTTCACAGTATTAAATACATTTATACTAGAAACAAATATCCAGTAATCAGAAATTGCACATCACTAGAAGAATTTCATCGTAACACAAATGGGAAAGTATATGGAGCCATCCATAACTACTTTTTTAAGTGATATTAAAATGGATCTATAATTGCGATTTAGTTTCTGTAACTAATAATTGGAGATGGCGTTTTAAAGCATTATTGCTGGCCAAATACTACTTCCAAACTTTTCGGTCGGTCGGTTAAAAAATACGCGACATGAAGGGTAAAAATCAGAACGATTTTTGACACTTTCGATACCAGGAGCAACAAAAAAATACACGAAAATGTTGTTTTTGCTCTAATGTTATTACCTCTTTGATATGCCTTGTAACAAGTTTTCTATTTGAGTAATCCACTTGCAAAGTGCGCTATGTAAATTTTTTTTTCGATTTTTAGTTTTTGGTGGATTACGTACCAAAATTTAAAGTAGTTTCATGCCCACTAACAACACAGTGCAAAATCTTTTTATATTCTGAAAAAATAGCATAAAATGTTAACTCTTCTTCCAAAAGTCGCTATCATACATATTTGTAAACTTTCAAAAGTACCGATGTTCTGATGAACCTAGAAAACGGCTTTAGGTCGTATAGACTGTTAATGTTATCTTATGTCATGTTATGGTATGTTATAATTTTATAAGGCTCTTATTTATCCAAATTTTCAGGTAATAATAAAAAAGATTCAATTTGAATGTTACTCGTTGTCGTAGTCGTTTTTTTTCAAATTTATGGATTTCTATTATAAAATCACATAACGCTGTTTGCAAGTGGACGACTACTCATTTCTACGCACAAAATTGTTTGTATAAATTTTTAAATTTCCAAAATTCTACTTTGTGTATTTCAAAAGCTCTTACGAACGAATTAAAAAGCTCTACAAAAAATTTTATGCATATAGAAAACTTGCTACTTCATTTGTATGAGCGCCTGGTATTTGGAAATAAAAATATCGTTTCGTAAAAATAAACAAAAAATCCGGGTATCCGAATAATTGCACAAACGAATATTAACCGGATATCCATACCATGATAAAAACATTACAAAGTAAATTCATTTTCTCAATTCGTCGGCCAGATTTTTTTTTACCATTTTCCAGCATTTTAAAGTCATATAAAATTGAGAATAAAAAATGATATTGTTCACAATTGTTGTTGTTTGAGATTGAAAATGGGAATGTGTGTGTGAGTTTGAGTTTTGAATTTTTTAATTATATTGCTGGCAAACGTCAAACTGCCTCTCAATGGTTTTACCTGGTTATGTTTTTATCATGATCCATACTATCCGGATTTTATCCGTGTAAGCGGATAATCCGTATGAATTTTCGAATATTCGAATAGCCGAATGGTTCCAGCCGCCCTACTCGGAGATAATACCTATTTTGATAATTTTAAAATGCAAAACTTTATCTGTAAACAAAATGTCGTCATCGTTGGAACCGTTTCCGAGAAACCTATGGATATATATATATATATATATACATGTATATATTAATGTAATAAGATAAGATAATGTAAGATAATATTATGTACTGCCCGATTCACTTGAATAGGTACACATATTTTCCTTAAGATCCAAGCTTATATCTGGATTTGTGGGGATCAGAGAAGCTTCTTTTTAATCTCGTTTTGGAGGTAAGCGGTGAAAATGAAGAAAACAACTTCATGACTTTGCATTTTATTTCACTTTTTATTAAATCACACGAAAATTATACTAATTGTTTTTTGATTCACTTGAATAGGCACACTGGCTTTAACAAAAGGAAAGGACTATATTGAACCTACAAAGCAAACTTTTCATTTTAATTTTAATATATAACACTTTTAGTATGGGACACTACATCCTTAATTCCAATGTATGGAAAGATCCCTATCCGGTAGACATATCTAGAGGTGCTTTGAAAAATCAAGGACATCTCGCTGCTTATCACTTTAATCGCCGGAAAGGGCAACCTGTCATTCATCTCATGGACTGTCTGGCCCGCAAACTTTGCAAAACATCAAATTACAAATATTTTCCATTAGGCTTAGGTACTGTGAATAGGACGAACTCTGGAAAAAACGACTTTGCTTCGTTATCCTCGTTTTTACAGCTCCTGTAGTGCGAATCGATGGGTAGTTTTGCTAACATATTCAAGAACAAGGTGCGAAAATGTGGGACAAATGTTAAAAAATGTTCTTAATACTTGTTTTGCACGAATCATTCATAATTTTGGAAACTGGGAATATTCGCCCTCATTGCGAGAGCCGTGTCGAATGCAAGTCGTTTTTCGAGAGTCGAATCGTATCTTAAGTTTCACGCCATTGCCTAAAATTTCCACTCGACTAGTGTATTAAAGTGGGAAAACTTGGCAGCACTGTATAGTTTACGATGATTTTCGTCGTTTACTTATTTCAGCACGGCACAATGCCAATATTGTCGAGTCGTACAATTGAGCCTAATTTACGACTTACGCAATGAGGCTGATTATCTCAACTGCTCTAGACTACGAAATCGCAGTTCACATCGCCATACAACGTTCGCCCTTTCATAAATCGTGACACACATTAATAAATTTGTTGTAGCCATGGAAATTTAACTTTTCTCCAGAGAAATCCACAATTTCCTAGTTGTCCTTTCAGGCATGCGAATTGTACAAAATTTCAGTCATGATTTTAAACGTTGGCCTTTTTGACATTTTCTGAACACAAGTGTATAGAGTAATCCGTTGTCGTTGTTGTTGTAGCGGCTACTAAACTTCGCTCGGGGGTCGGTTCATCCATCAACGTTGTCATCTGTTTCAGCTAAGGGGAGGCCCAGGAAGTGCGCAACTTCAACAGGATTTGTTCATATTAAAGATGGGCACGGGCCTAAATTTTCAGACCCGGCCCGGCACGAGTGCAAAATCAACTTTCAGAAACACACACGAGCCCGCACGTTAAGAATTTTAGTGGGGCACGGCCCGGCATGACGGGACACGTCTCAGCCCGGAAATAAAGAGCCAACTTTTATTGTATGTTTACATATGTATGTACATATTTTTAATTTTGTGTTTATGTATATATATTTACTTCCCAGCCAGCAGAGAAACGTACTTTTTGCCGACAGTGCAGTTTTCGTACATTTTTCGTATCCGGAAACGTTCAGAAAACGATTTCCATATTTGTTAATTTTTCGTATCCGAAA